AATGGACCTCCTGAACCCCTTCGAAGGCGTCAGCGCTTTGCTTCGGTCTCGTCTCCAACGACCACTCGATCTGCGTCCCATTTCCTCACAGAACCCGCGACATCCGTGCGTTCCAGGTGGAAGGTGTTGGAAGCTGACGTAGAACAATCGGCGAAGGACTGGGTACAGAAATCCAGCCACGTTGAGAGTGCATTTGAGTCGCCCCAACCATCACCTCCGCCGCCGCTGCCGCCACCACCGATTCCCGCTAAACCAATTACACACAGGAACACGACACCCGACTTACCACCTCGGATGAACAGGTGGAAGAGTTTCGGTGTAAGTAATGAGGAAATCGAGTCTCTGAGTGCGACTCAATCACACATGTCAATATCATCTAATAATTGAGAGGTTTTCGCAGTATCTAGTCGAATTTGGCGTGTGTTAATCGCGGCTATATACCCGAAAACAAACGTTTCGGGTGTAAAATGCCGAATGCAGAGTTCTCGCTTGGCACACCCCCTATTGGTCAACTCCAGGTCATATCGATTTCCCAATTCAGCATGCCAAGTAAATATCGATTTGGTGATGGAACAATTGACCGAAGTTTTTTTTTCAGGAAAACCTAGTCAACGTAAACCCCTATTTGGAACCGGTTACTAGTCCCTGTGAGACAAGTTTGGAGGCCTCCTTGAATCCACGGAATTCCTTGACCCACAACCGTTTTTCGAAGAACCCCCCCTCTGATGGTGTTGGTGAGTTTTGTTGTTGAAATCGTTAGGTTGCTTGCGTGTTTCAGCTTTGATTAATGGCTACTTTTACACAACTTAGCAGGTACGGGCGAATTGTTCCAAAAGCCAGGCGTTTCCAGACGCAAGGAACATTCAGATTCCCTACATTTGCCCAGTGAAGATCCGTACGAGGAGACACCGCGTTTTGATTCGCAGTATCTGACAGTAAGTTCGACTTTGCTAACAGCCAATCAAATGCCAGAACGAGTCATGCTGTCTGTTTCGGAATTCTCTATCATAAAACAAGAAATAGTTAATTAAAACAAACCCGATACACTTCGGAACAAATGCGAGTATTATATTTAACTAGACCCAGGGAAAATCACTGTTTAAAATGTTGTTGTTTAAACTGACATCCTGGCTGTAACAGGAAATTTGATTTCAGATTAACACATTGTATCGATTGGGCTAAAACAGTGGTATCATCGTACACAAATTAGTAGTGTTACAGCCAAGCTGCATTCTTATTGATTGATCAAGGTCAGAAATGATTATTTGCTTGGTTTTGATTGGCTATTGCCCAACTACGGTCGTAGCGATTGTGGCCTTCAAAAGGTCCCAATTTTTGCTGCATTGTTTAAATGGGTGTCCTACTCGAAAAAATGAGAGGGGGTAATTTGAAAAAAAAAATGTTGCTTATGATTGTTCAACGTCGGAAAGTTGTGGGTTGACATTCATAATTCTGAAAATCAACTCCTCCGCAGCATTTCATCCAGAGGTTAAAAATGCGCTTATATTGCAGAAATTTGATTTAGCACGTAGTCGTTTTTTGTCAGCGCCGATTTAAACAACATTCTCATTTCAAAAAGTTTGCGAACTGGGTACTGATACTAGAGAAAAGCGGTTTAAAATAAAATCCTAATCAAGCGTCTTGCATTACGAAATTTGAGACATAATTAGTTGCGTTGACTCCAGCCCAGAACCGCTGCGTCATACGAGCAAGCTCGTTCGCCCACCTCCACTAGGATGAACCGGAAGCAAACCCACGAGGTCCCCCTCAGCCCCTCTACCCTCAGAGCTGCAGTCGACTACGAGCCCGGTGAATCTGTCTGCGGTGAGTAATTTCCGAAGTTTGATCGTTAACTCTGGTGTGATTTGGCTCAACCAATCACGTTTTTGCATTTCCACTCCCCCACCAATCGTTGGCCGCCATGTCCGCACTACCCCGGTTTGCAATTGGTTGCGCACTAGCGTGATACTATTGGTTGCTTTTAGAATCCACCGACGCCACCGCCACCGACTCCCACACCTATCCGCCGAATTTGTCTGAGATGACGAGACAACTGAGTGGTTCGCAGACGGCGCTAGTCACACCTCGACCTGTCTACCCCCACAATGTAATTCGGCGTGAGGCCACCTACACACAACTTAACATCTGAATAAGAAGCACTCCCGCGTGTGTGTGTTTACGCTTTCCCCACCGCAGGGCACTGTAACAACTCGCGCGCAATTCTGATGCACGACACGCCCAACTAACTCGCACCTCGTGTGACGCTGCGTGATTTTGCTGAGGCGGCGACACCTCCCGCGTTTGTAACAGTCCTGCTCCCTTTTTCGGTCTGTCTTGCAGGTCGCTAAGACGCCGAAACCACTCAGTCTCCCGCTCTCATTGGTCAGTGCGTTTCGCGTGCCCTAAAAGTCCACGCAACTTCATCGGACGCATTCCTCTCTTGTTTAATCGTCCTGGCGCCAAATCAACTTTTTGAATCTTGCCGCAACCGATGTTTTGCAAGACTATACCCTGCACTTTTACTCATGCTTGCCTGGTGTTTGCTTGAGGGAGGTGATTGGTTCAAACAACCAATAAAATGCTGTGACCAAATCGACTTTTAGGTTGAGCAACGGCTTCCGATTGGTCAGCTTTAAAACCAGTCACCTCAAGTTCAAATCCGTAACATCCCGGATTTACGTGCAATAGACAATGTTTTTTTGAAATATTGCAGGAAGGTTTTTTTCGAAGCGCAAAATTTATTTATTTAAATGGCGGAAAAAATTAACATATGTGGAAACAAACCAGGGTTCTCTGAAAATTATCCGAATTGCTAGAACAAAAACAAGACGAATTGCCTAGTCTCAAACAACCACGCGGTCAAATTCGTGTAAGATAAGTTCCCAATCCTATTCAACCGATCCCCAACAATTGTGGAGCATTAGTCGCTAGGACATCTTCACTCTGATCTGGCAATGACCGCTTGACAAAACCTGAATGATTTCGTTTTGTAGTGACCACGATGGCACCCAAATCCCACAAAAGCTTCACTTGAATAGAACAATAGTATCGTTTAAACGTCGTATCTAAGTAAGAAACCACATCTACCAATCAACGTTGCGGGATTCATGAACACCCGGAAGTGATACTAACATCGGGAAGTTGGTTGTTGCTTTAAATACGGATTGGTCGGCTCTATTTTAACTATCAGTGTACCAAAATGTAGACAACAGAGAAATTGCCGGTTGAGCGCAAGTACAGTTAAAAAGAGAGGAGCGAATGACGAAAGAAGGTGACATCTGATTGGTCATCACAGAGGGTGTGAGAGGGGAAAGGGGGGTATGCCAAGTGACTTGTGGAATGGGTGGTCATGATTGCGCCAGACTCCGTACGGTCGCCTGAAACGTGGATGGGTGATTGAAGTATTAGTTGCAACAATTATCGTCTTTTAATTTAAAGAAATTTGGTTCCTTCGATGCGAACAGTGTCATGTCAACCTCGTGCGTGGGGCGAAATTCGTCAAATTTTCGAAGTTTTCGTGGCAAATTCAGTCCCCTACGTTTACTGGCTGTGTGCTTAAATAATGGAGGATAATTACTCAACTGAAGATCTTCACAAAACTTTCACTTACATTCCAAACGATTGAAATTTCCTTTTAACCGTCGCCTGTCCTGTCAGTAGCGCCCGCGGTAAGACTGAAGCATTGAAATAAACCACGTCATTGAAGAATCCAAAGAGAAAATCACGTTTTATGCGATATTTTGATTGCGAATTGTCATAAACAGATGATTTTTTGGGCTAATCACTAAAATCCATCCACACAGTCACATTTGTCTATCTGGAAACGATCTTCCCTTATCAGCGAGGCGTTTGGGTGTCGCCATAAGCTATCACAAATGATCTTGGATTGATTCTAGAGGATTGACAATACTTGAAATGTGATTGGTAGAACCGCATTGGCGCTAAAATCAATCCCACCAACCAGCGCTCAGACAACGGTTTAAACAAACGGCGCGATAGTAAAGCACCACAACACACCATTGGCTCGTCCTCTGCCTCGTCCTCCTCGGAATAGCCAACGTCTGCATCGTGTTCGTTCCAATAAGCCTGGTTCATTGGCATTTGACGCCGTGGTTGTTGAAGAGGATGTTGTGGATGCTGAGGAAAGTACCGTGGAGGCCCGACAACACGACGCGGATGCACCACGGTAGGTCGGTAGCGCTCGTGAGGTTGGACGGGCTGATAGTCCACCTGGTAGGAATCGCTGTCCCTCGTTCCCTCATCAAACTCCGCTAAACATTCACACACCAAAACCCTGGTCAATGCCGAGACAGTGTGTGTGTGCGTGTGTGCTGGCAACTAATTAAAATCACACATTTCATGCCTTTTTTGACTACATATTAGTAGGTGCATGACGGGAATTCTACAGATTTTTCAGGAAATGAAATTCGTGTAAAAACGAACTTCATCTTGGAAATATTGTTCGTCGGCTTCTACGACCTTGCATCATTTCTCAGATAATGCACGAATGACGTATGAAATAAAGGCAAAACAGTCATCATCGGTAAGCGGTAGCCATCTGACCACTTTGCATTGGTTCGCAATAAAGTACACCCTTCATGTCCCCAAACCAGATGCACAGAAGAGCCCTCTTCTTCTTCGTTTACTTTTTCATCCTCCTCCTCCTCATCATCATCATCATTTTCTTCTTCTTCTTCTTCTTCTTCTTCTTCATTTTCTTCATCATTTTCTTCTTCTTCGTCGTCGTCTTCTTCAGCCTCATCAGCATCATCATCATCTTCTTCTTCTTTTTCTTCTTCCTCAAGTGAATGTTCTGTTTTGGCGTCGATGTGTCACAATTTTACACAAAAGTCCTGCTGCCGGCGGGCAAGCAGTGAAAGGCTGTGTTCGTTCAACGCATGTAGGAGGACCCAACTTCAAAGATATTGCAAAGTTATTTCCTAATTCGTGGAGACGCTTGGA